TGGAAGGCATGTGTTGAAGATGGCAGAGTAATAAGCTGGGATCTCTGAAAATTGAGTGTGGTACCAGCAAGACCTGCCCTGGATGGCCAACTTCTGGATCTCATTTAGATGGGAGAGAAACAACATCTGTTTTCTTTAAGGCACTGTTATTTCAAGTGTTCTTCCACTCATGAAAGAAGACCTAAGGCACAAGTAGTCAAATGCACATCTGTTAATGCAAAGGTTGGTGGTTCGAATCCACCAGCAACTCTGTAGGAGAAGGATGTGCCAGTCTGCTTCCATGAAGAGTTAGTCTTTGAAACACTATGGGGCAGGTCTACCTGTCCTATTGTGTCTCTGTGAGTCAGAATCAACTCGATGACAACAAATTTGGTGTCGTCATTTTTTTGGTCATGACCTAATCTGATCCTTAATAACAAGTTCTGTATCTCTCAACAGGCAGACATTTTCAGGTGGCAATCCCCTAAGTCAATACAACTAGCTCCTGCCAGTTTTCCTTTGGAACAAGATTGTTGTTGTTAAGTGCTGCTGAGTTGATTCTGACTTATCGCCACCCTATACAGGGTTTCTGAAGAGCAGCTGGTGGGTTTGAACCACCAACCTTGTGGTTCACAAACCAATGTTTATCCTACAGCACCACATGTTAAATTGTTGTTGTTGTTATGTGCCGTGGAGTCGGTTCTGACTCATAGCGACCCTGTATAGGGTTTCTGAGGCTGTAAATCTTTACGGGAGGAGAAAGCCTCATCTTTTTCCGGTTCACAGCCCGATTTGTAACCACTACGCTACCAGAGCTCCTACATGTTCAATAGGAGCGTCATTTAGTTCTGGTTACAGAACAAACTCATTTCACACCTGCAGAGACCAGCTACTGCAGAGAATTTTCCAGAATATTGTTGTACTTTTTACAGTGGACTTCTTAATGTTTTGCTGAAGGGATTGTCCTCTGGGCTCTCCCTTCAACAAAGGGATACGCTAATGGAGGGAGAGTGTGTTACACATGAGGAACCCTTCCCAACATTCCAAACTTTGGATCCTTTTCTCTCTAGTCTACCAAAGAAGCGCTAGTGTCTCAACCTCATTTAATGAAGGTCTTTGTTGAGTCTGATTTGAGCCAACCACCTCAGCAATTAGAAACACCCCTGACTGATTAAACTAATACACTGAAACCAGAACTTCTGGTGTACACACCTATTAAGAGTTTCAACGTTATATTCAGTCTTCTCTGGTCTAGAAGCCACTTCCACACAGAAATCCTCCAATGCCCAGATGCATTTCTAGCATCTTACATTTCTTTTGCTATATAAGCTTTCTCCTCTGAGGAAGATGCCTTACTCATCTTCCTGGTGTGAGCTGAAATCTGACTCTGAGGGTGAGTCTGGAAGCAAAGAGGCATTGGCCCCCTTTTCAAAGTTTCATGCCTTTAGAAAATCCATGATAAGAGTTCCAGGTAAGGGACAGCCAGCCTCTCCAAGAGAAAGAGGGACTCTTTCAACTGACAAGGGAGATTCAGAGGGATTTAGGGGTTCAAGATACTCAGAATTATCCCAAATTACCAAAATGTCCCCATTCCAAATCTGAGGGTTTCTGATTCATCCCAAAGCTGTAATTTTGACCTCTGTGGAATCTGGTGAGCCACAGGATTCAGAACTGGCAGCTACAGAAGTTAAATGAGTCTTCTAGAGCGTTGAAACTTTCTAGCTCTCTGAGCTGTCATTTTATTCTGTAAACTCCCAGTGCATTCAGAAGCAAGAGACTCTCCCTACAGTCCATGCTGGCATCCTTCCTGACAGAAGGATCGAAATCAGCAACTATTTTGTCTTGTAAAGATCTGCCTTTAATAGGCTCTTTATAAGGAGCTCTGGTAGCGTAGTGGTTACGAATCGGGCTGCGAACCTTAAGGTCAGTGGTTCGAAACAACCAGCCGCTCCGCGGGAGAAAGATGAGGCTTTCTACTCCCGTAAAGATTTACACCCTTGGAAACCCTGTACAGGGTCGCTATGGGTCGGACCTGACTCAATGGCACTTAACAACAACAACAACAACAACAACAACAAATTCTCCCATGAGACTTTAAGTGAATTCTTTCAGTTCATGCTTAAGATTAGCATTATCTCATTTTTTTCTTGATGGTAAGGTGATAAAGAGTTCTAGTGGTATCACGGTTAAGCGCTCAGCTGCTAGTGGAAAGGTGGGTAACTGAAAGCCACCCAGCCCAGCAGATTTGTGGGAGAGAGACCTGATGATCTTTTCTTATAAAGATGGTTGTTGTTGTTAAGTGCCATTGAGTCAGTTCCAATGCATAGAGGCCCTTGTTGCACCGACCTTGCAGTTCAAACCAACCTTCCAGTCCAGTGCTTATCCTACAGTGCCACACCATACTCCTTATAAGGACTATAGCTTAGAAAGTCCTCTGAGGTCACATGGGATAGCTATAATTTGGAATCACTTTGAGGGCACCTAACAAGGGCATCATTGACTTGCTTTATCTGACATAACCAGGTCAGATAGCTAACTCCAGAAGAATTGATGCATTTGAGTTACGGTGTTGGAGAAAAATACTAGAAGTACCATGGACTGCCAGAAGAGCAAATAAATCTGTGTTGGAAGAAGTACAGTCATAATCCTCCTTGGAGAGCAAGATGGTGAGATTTCATCTCTCATACATCTGACATGTTATCAGGAAGGACTAGTCCCTGGAGAGGGACACCATGCTGTGTACAGTGGAGCATCAGACTCCAACGAGATGGATTCACACAGTGGCAGTAGCAATGGGCTCAACTTTAACAACAATTTGAGGATGGTGAAGGACTGGGCAGGTTTTTTTCTGTTGTGCTGAGTCAGAACCAGCTCAATGGCGCTTAACAACAACATCTTTGAGAGTTAGTTTCCCAGAAGCGAAATTACTTTTAGGCTCAGTTACAGTCTCTATTTTGGTTTATTCAAGAAAACAAAAGCCACTGTAAGTACTTCAAGTGAAGGAGGATCAAATGCTGAGAATGGGTACAGATAAAACCATTGGAAGGCCTAAGCAAGAGACTCGGAGTACCACCAGTATCTTCAGGTTGACCACTCAAACTTTCTGTAAAGTGCCGTGAAGAGATAAACTCCTGTTGCATTGTGGGTTGGAAAATGGCAGCATATTTCTATTTGAGGGACATAGCTACCAAGGTGGGCAGCTGGTAAAGAAGTACATTTTTTTCTATGCCACTGCTGCATCTGCCTGATGCTTCCATCTCACTTTCCAATGTTTATATGAATCTCTCTTGTTGGCAGAAGGCAAATAACATCCAGAACCCTGGAGTCAAAGGACTCATGTAGTCCTCAGGATACATGGAAAGACCACAGACAGGAATGGACAAGAGGATCAAGGCAGACTGTGTCCTCCTGAAATCTGGCACTGAAGGCATTGCCCAGTTTTATGAAGACTATTCATTTCAGTCCCCAAAAATGAATGACAGGTTTTTCAGAGGTATTCAGCCCACCCATCCCTCCTACCCTAACCCCTAGCTCTGCCCCCATGCATACAGTTTTGCATATTGTTCCTTGTTTTTTCCTTCCCTGCCTTCTTTTCTGTGACTATTTCTCTGAGTGGCAGATGACTCAGGGAGGAGGCTCAGAAGAAGATCAAGAGGGCAGGTTCTAGTCTTCTGATGACACTTCTCCGCTCTCCCACACATTAGGAAGAAAATGGGGCTTTTGAAAGTTATATGCTTGCAATGGAGCTGAGGTAAAGGGTGGACTCCTGCGGGGCAACAACTATGCTAAATGCTCTCCATGTATTGTATGTGCTGTGGAGTTGATTTCGATTTATAGTTATTCTATGGGATGGAGTACAATTGCTCCAAAGGGTTTCTTAGGCTATATATAATCTTTACCAAAGTTGACCATCATTTGTCTTCCATGGAGTAACTGTAGGATAAGCACTAGACTGCTAACCCTAACCTATACAAGGTTGCTTTCAGTTGAAATGACTCCTGCACTTAACCTCTGGGTTAGCAGCTCAGGGATTAAGCATTGGGTCACTTGGGCGCTGAAAACACAAATGGATTCCGACTCATGGAGATCCTATATGATGGAGTAGAACTGTCCCAGAGGATTTCTAAGACCTGGTGTGGCACTGTGGGTTAATGCACTGGACTGCAAAGTTATTTTGATCTGCTAAAGTCGGTGGCTCAAGCTCACCAGCCACTCCTTGGAAACCCTATACAGGGTCACTATGGGCCAGAACCAACATGACAGCACTTAACAACAACAACAATCTTTACTTGGGGAGTGCGGTGGTCCTGTATGATACATACTGAACTGTGAACCACAAGGTCAACGGTTCGAGCCCACCAGCCTCTTCGTTTCTCCTCCTTCAAAAGATTTACAGCCTTGGAAACCCTATACAGGGTGGTTGTGAGTCAGACCCTGCTTGTCAGCACTTAACAACAGGGTCGCTATGAGTCGGAACCAATTCCACGGCACATAACAACAACAACAACAACAGTCTGACCATATCGCTTTCCAGAGCTACCACAGGGAAAGGTATTCTGAAATGAGTGGATGGGGAAGAAAGGACTTTTCGAGCCTAACATGCCGGCCAGAGTCAGCAACCCCTCAAGTGAACCACCAAGCATTTCCGTGCGTCAAGACTGTCACCCCGATCTCGCGCATTGCGGCTCCAGATCATGGCAGGAGGCGTGAACTGTAGCGGGCGTGACCAGGGTGGCAGACTAGGGCCTGGGAGGCTGGGGAGGGGGTAAGAGAGGGGCGGGGCGACCGCGACCCCGCCCCCGGTCCTCCGTGCGCTCCCATTGGCCGAGCGCGTCCTGGCCCCATCCCACCGCCCGCCCGCCGGAGCCGCTTAAAGTGTGCGGAGCAGGTGCCTCGCGTGGAACCGCAACTTTGAGCGCGTCCTGTTGCCGCGCGCCCATTCATTGCCCGACATCCCTCCGTCTCCGCGGCGCCGAGCAACGAGAAGACTCGGGCTGACGCGTTGCCACCGGGGTCGGGCCGGAGAGGGGAAGAGAGCGCGCCATGCAGACGTGCGCCAGGGCCTGGGCGCTGCGCCTGGGCCGCGGGGCCGGGGGTAGCCGACGCCTGACGGGGGGCGCGGGGCCTCGCGGGGTCACCCCCGCCCGGAACGGCAGCGGCGGCGGCGGGGACAGTGGCGCGGGGGCCTCGCGCCTCCTTGAGCGTCTGCTGCCCCGCCACGATGACTTCGCGCGGCGGCACATCGGCCCGGGGGACAAAGACCAGCGGGAGATGCTGCAGGCCCTGGGGCTGGCGGTAAGGAACCACCCGGCCCCGATCCCTCCGGCGCGGCCTGGAGCCCCCGCTCTGGGCTGGCTGCCCGGCGGGGACCCGCGCGCTCGGGTCCCCGAGTCCCAGCGACTTACCCGCTCACTTTCTCCGCTCTCTAGTCGCGCCTCCCAATCTGACTTTCTTAAACCCTCGTCACCCGCGGATAAGCCCTAACTTTTGCAAGACCTGAAAGACCGGGTTCCCCTGGGTTCATCCGCTGAACTCTGGTCGCCGACAGAATTCCAGCACGGAGTCACCTCCCCAACTGCTTCTTTATGTCCTCCCCTCTGGGTGACTTGTGGTTTGCTCGAAGTTTTTTTCTCGTTCAAAAACACCTCGATTTAACGAGGCGATTTAAATGAGGCTCCCACAAGCCTTTGTAGCTGCAAAACACCGAGGTTTTCGCTCTTTTTCACTCGGAAGCACTTTGCTTGGCCTTTAGTGGTCACCGACTTCCGTTCGCCTTTTAGAGCATCGAGGAGTTGATTGAGAAGACGGTCCCAGCTGGCATCCGCTTGAAGAGACCTTTGAGAATGGAAGACCCTGTATGTAAGTGGCCTGGAACGCGCCTTTTACCGCCCTGCTAGAGTCAGGCCTGCTTTGCTTTCTGTGGGGGTAGGACGGGCTCAGGGCTATGAAAACGTTGATTACAATAAAACAGCTTAGGATGAGAGAGTTGGTCCCCTGAGCAGTTCTTTCCCTACCCAAGGAGAGGGGTGTGTGTCAGCGCATGTCTTGGCCCCAGAACTTTGCAGTGCTCAGTAAAACCCGCAACCTTGGCTGATGTTGGGAAGCGTGGAAACCCAACGCCATGAAGTCGAGTCGGACTCACAGGGACACTACAGGACAGAGTGTTAATGCCCTTTGTTGTTAAGTGCCATCGAGTCGGTTCCTACTCATAGCCTCCCTGTATAGGGTTCCCGAGGAGCAGCTGGTGAACTTGAACCACCAGCCTTGCTGTTCAAAGCGACTTTGCAATTAAGTTCATTAACCCACAACACCTTAAACTGTAAATCTTAACGTGTGCAGACAGCCTCATCTTTCTCCCCCAAAGAGGTTGGTGGGCTCGAAGCTGTGATTCTAATTGTTTTTGTCATGTTGTTAAGTGTCGTCCAGTTGATTTAGACTCATGGTGTCCCTGTAGAGGGTTCCCGAAGAGCAGCTGATGAGTTTGAACTGCCAGCTTTGTGGTTCAAATGGACCTTGTGATCCAGTGGTTTATTATCCTACAGTGCCACACCCCAGCAGTGTGATACATAACCTACTTCAGCACAAAGCCAGAGGGCTCCCAGCTTCTATGCACCATCCACAGGGCTGGCATGCTGTGGGGTTGGGAGGTGTCGCCATTGCCTCTGATATAAGCAGTCATCAGTGGTAGGATTCTGCCTTCTGTGTGAAAGACCTAAGTTTAATTCCCAACCAATGGAGCCCTGGTGACATACTGGTCTTCACATTAGGCCACTAACCATAAGGTCAGCAGTTCGAATCTACCAGCCACTCCATAGGAGAAAAAGGAGACTTTCTGTTCCTATACAAGACTGGACTCCTGGTGTGGCGCTGTAGGATAAGCACTGGACTGCCAACCACAGGTCAACGGTTCAAACCCACCAGAGCTCTCTATATATCCATGTGTGCTGTAGGGTTGATTCAGACTTAGAGTGATGCTAAATGATGGAATGGAACTGTTAAAAACAATGACAATGCATTTCCGGGAACGCCACCACCTAGTTTGTCAGTGGAATCTTATTGCAAGTTGCTTTGATCACTTTCTGGTGTCCCTAGGCGGTGCAAACAATTAAGGGCATGGCTCTGGTAGCGTAGGGAGCTCTGGTAGCGTAGTGGTTACGAATCGGGCTGCGAACCTAAGGTCAGTGGTTCGAAACTACCAGCCGCTCCGCGGGAGAAAGATGAGGCTTTCTACTCCCGTAAGGATTTACACCCTCGGAAACCCTGTACAGGGTCGCTTTGGGTCGGAACCGACTCGAAGGCACTTAACAACAACAACAACTTTAGGCTAGCAATATAAAACCACCCAGAGATGCCCCAGAATTCAGGCCAGATCTGCCTCTGAAAGGTCACAGCCTTGTAAACCCTGTGGAGTTCTGCTCTGCACACATGGGGTTGCCATGAGCCAGAGTGCACTGAATAACAAGTAACAACACTATGGAGAGACCCAACTCACTGTCAGCCAGTCAGTTCTGACTCAGAGTGACCTGTTGTTAAGTGCTGGTTCTATTCATAGCAACCCTGTATAGAATTTCCAAGAGGGCTAGCGACCTATGTGGTTGAGTGCTGTTGAGTTGGCTTTGACTCCTAGCAACCCTATATAGGGTTTCCGAGGAGAGACTGGTGCGTTTGAACCACTGATTTTCCAGTTCAAATTGACTTTGTGGTCCAATGTTTTATCTTAGATAGGATTTCCAAAACTGTAAACCTGAATAGAAGTAGACAATCTCATCTATCTCCAGAGGTGTGGCTGGTAGCTCAATTCTTAACTCACAGATCACAAGGTTGTTTGTTGTTAATGGTTCAGACTAAGGAATTGCCTTAGGCCATACAACTAGGGCAGTGACTATGGTGGGGCTGAGACTCAGATACTTGGTCTCCTGTTGTTAAGTGCCATCGAATCTGCTCCGACCCATAGCGACCCTGCATGGGATTTCTAAGGAGCAGCTGGTGAGCTTGAACTGCCAACATTGCAATTCAAATGACTTTGCAGTCTGGCGCATTAACCCGCAGCGCCACACCAGGACTCCTAGACCAAGCTTGTTGTTGTTGTTAGGTGCCATTGAGTTGGCACCGACTCATAGCAACCCTATTAATGAAACAATGTCCGATCCAGGGCCAACCTCACTACTGTTGCCACATTTGAGTCCATAGATGCTGCCACCTGGCCAATCCATCTTGTTGGGGGTCTTCCTCTTTTTCTCCGACCCTCCATCTTACCAAGCTTAATCACAACAAAATCCCTTCCGTTTTTCTTCTTACAGTAAAAGTATAGTCTGAAAGCCAGCAGTACTTAACTTTCAGGTCAGAGTGGTTCTCTAGAAAAAATAAGATTCATGTTTACTTAGGAAAACTGTTTACTCATAGAAATCCTTAGAATTTTAATTTCTATTTAAAGTAATTTTTTTTTAACATTTATTAAGGCACAAATTACTTTACCGCCAACATTGAACACGATTTTCCCTACCCTACTTCCATCTTCTTTACCAAACAAGGAAAGAACACAAGCCTCTCGAATTCTAGGCTCTCCATCTGCGTATGAAGAAATTTTCATTGGGTGTTTTTGCCTGAAATACTAATACTAATTTTTATATTCAGATATCTCATAGTCACTGCAGATTGTTGTTGTTAAGTGCCGTCGAGACAGTTCCCACTCATAGCGACCCTGTATAGGGTTTCTGGTGAGTTTGAACCACTGACCTTATGGATCAAACTGACTTTGCAGTCTAGTGCATTAACCCAGAGCGCCACACCAGGATTCCCTGGTCACTGAGGGTACTTTCTGTTAAATCTTGTGTCTCAGACTTGCATATGTCCTTCATTTAATGCTTATTTTACTATTCAGTTGTTGTTAAGTGCTGTTGAAATCGATTCCAACCCACAGTGACCCTGCATAGGGTTTCTGAGGCTGTAAATCTTTACAGGAGCAGAATGCCTCATCTTTCTCCCATGGAACTGCTGATAGTTTTGAACTGCTCACCTTGAGATTAGCAGACCAGTTTGTAACCACTATGCTAGTCCTGGTTTAAAAAAGCAGAAATTAAAGTCAAAATGAAAATGTGTTTTTTAATGGTCTGAGGGCTGCTCTCAGAGTATTTGACATTGGTATTTGACATTCAAAGATTGAGGGGAGAATCCACAAATCAAGGGGTCACACAGAGCTGAAGGACTCTGGTTTCAAATCATAGAGATATTATCTCTTTACAAGTCAGATTGAGTAAGCTCATCTTAAACAGCTGGTTTATCAGGGGTCAGGATAAAAACCATATATACCTGGTGCGCTTATCTTGGTTAGCTAAGGAGTCCTGGTAGTGCTCTGGGCTAAGCATCGGGCTGCTAACCACAAGGTCTGTTATTCAAATCTAGCAGCCTCCTCTTAGGAGAAAGGTAAGGCGGTCAGATCCAAAGATGAACTTCCAAGATCTTAGAAACAGTAAGGAACAGTTCTACCCTGTCCTATAGGGTGGTTAGGAGTCAGAATCAACTCAATGGCACTGGGTTTGGTTTGTGGTTTTGGCTTAATAGTGAACTAGTACTATTTTAAAGTGTTGAAGAGCAGAGATGTCAATTTGAGGACTAAGGTGCGCCTGACCCAAGCCATGGTATTTTCAGTAACCTCATATGCATGCGAAAGCCGGACAGTGAATAAGGAAGACTGTAGAAGAATTGATGCTTTTGAGTTGTGGTGTTGGAGGAGAATACTGAAAGTGCCATGGACTGCCAAAAGAACCAATTTTGTAAGAAGTGTAGCCAGAGTGCTCCTTAGAGGCCAAGATGACCAAACTTCGTCTCTCATACTTTGGACATATTGTCAGGAGGGAGCAGTCGCTGGAGAAGGATATCATGTTTGGTAAGGTGGAGGGTCAGAGAAAAAGAGGAAGACCCCCAGTGAGATGGATTGGCAAAGTGACATCATCAATGGACTCAAGCGTGGCAACCATAGTGAGGTTGGCCCAGGATCGGGCAGTGTTTCGTTCTGCTGTGCGTAAGGTTGCTATGGGTTGGTACCAACTCGATGGCACCTAACAACAACTATTATCACAGAAGTAACACAAGTGGATGATTTAACAGACTTAAATTTGTCACCTTTTAGGGTTTGTTGTTACTACTGCCACTGAGACAGTACTGACACATCACAACCTTATGCACAACAGAACGAAACTCTACAGGGCTGAGCACCAATCTGTTGTTGCTTCGCTTGAACCCATTGCTAACTACAGTGCCAATCCATCTTGTAGGGGGGTCTTCCTCTTCTTTGCTGACCCTCCACATTGCCAGTCAGTCCAAAGTCAAGGGGGGGCAGGGAGTCTTGTCTCTAAATGGCTCTGGTAGTAGGTCCTTGTTTCGTCAGCCTCTACTCCTTGATTCCTTGGTGATATTTTTGTGGTCTGGTGTCTATATTCCTCATCTCTGCTTCTCTCACTTGCTTGTTTCATCTCTTATCTCAAAGAAGATTAATTTACGATACACTGACATTAATACGGTCTCATTAACATAACAACGAAAATCCATTCTCAACTGGAATTATAACCACCACAGGGTTAGGATTTATAACGTATTTGGCAGGGGTGGGGGTTGGGGACACAATTCAATCCCAAACATATGGCAAGCTCAGTTTCTTTTAAAGGAGACAATCGGAGACAGGGAGCCTGTTGAGTACCTGTTGGTTATGAATGGACCTCAAGCTCTGAGGAGACCTGCTGCCCTTGTTGGTTTCAAACCTGAACCATTTCCCTGACTACCAGGGAACTTGCTCTATAGAAGAGAATCTGCACTTTTTGTTGAATTGAACTAATTGGAACTTTTAGGATAAATGGAAGACA